TAGACATGAACTGTAATGTTGTTCACAGCCTAAACCCACTCAGTGTTCCCAGGTTTCAGCTCTATCTTGCCATGCATATTAAGGTGAAAACAATGTTTGCTGGGCAGGTATTGGGCAGCGGAGCCCCCCTTCAGCTCTCCCTTGTGCAGTGCTTGACGGGTATGCTCAGTCAAGGCAACCCAAAAAAAGAAAAAGAAAATTGTGATATGGAGTTCAGGATTTAGTTTCTGGTGCTTGCATCCGTATTTTAAAGGATTACCTAATTAATTAATAGATTGATTTCACTTTCAGGCAAATATTTTGAAGACATTTATGATGCTTTCAGACTTTTCTCACATTGATATTAGTCTTGTTCAATCAGTCTTGTTGAAACTTCCTATGATCAGTAATACAAACCAAGTCCAGTGAGACAGTGGTACATTCATGTTATAGCAAAGACCAAGAAACTTTCAACACTTGCCTGCCAGCAAGACATAGTTTAGAGTTATTTGTTATTTGACACCAAATAGTCTGGCAAGGTAACAATCTCCCATCATGTCTGAAGGTATTTGGAGAGGTTGGTTGGCCATTTTTTGAGCACCAATAGGTTTGTTTTGATTATAGTGCATTGTATGTAGCTGTCCTCTATATATTTACCCATTTTCATTTAATTGTTGATGATCTAATGCAATGGTAGTAGTGTATATATTTCATATTCCTAACGGTCTGTAGCCAGTCTTGCTGTATTTATTACAATTTTAAAATTGTTTGAAGACTACATTATCATTTCATTTCTTTACTTTTGGAATTGTCTATGTATTAACTCTTCTGTTATACTTATTTAATCTGTACATACACCCTAGTGTTAAAGTCATTTACTAGTGTCAAATCAAGCTGATCTGTGATTGATATCTGTTCACATGTGTTTTGAATTATATTTCACATTTCTTTTGCAAAGTAATTGCGAGAGTGTGTATAATGTCTTTTACTCTAAGTTATAGTATTGCGGTACATTTTAACATGAGGATTAAGATTACAAACTAGAATAATGTTACTACAATATTCAGATTTTAAAAGACATGTTTTTTAAAAGTAAATGCCCTGTCTTGTTTATTCTTCAGGATGGAATGATACAATACCACATTCACGTAGATATATAACTCTCACCCCTGACATGGACTCAAAGCTACTTATTCGTGGCAATTACCAGAGGGAGCAGCACAAAATCACTTGACTGCACAGACCCACTTTAAGAATTACTCAATTTGCATCATAAATCAGACATTGCAGCAAAGAAGTTTCTCTCATTACTAGCAGTATTCATATGTCCATCCATTTATACATACAAAGTATATTCACAGTCTATAATCAGACCTAATGTGTTTAAAATTCCAGACAGAGTCAAGGATGATATCGTGAATGCAGCCTTTGAAAATTAAGATAGGGAATGCAGCCTTTTCATTATTTATTTGTTTTGTAGCAAATATTTAATAAGCACAAACAAATAGGAACAAACATATAGCATAATGAGTAATAAATAACAGTTAACATAAGCTTCATCAATCATTATGTGATTGATAAAGCTTTGTAAATAGACAGTATTGGTATTCAGAAGACAAGGGAAATTCAAATGGAAATAGCTACTATGTTGGTAACAAAGTCATCTCAAGACATCATCAGCCAGCAGGTGTCCTGTATATAAGACCATACAATGGTTATAAAAATTGAATATCAATCATATCAGAAAAGGGTTAAAATGAAATGGGGTGAGCATAATTGCAAACACATATGCAATTGCTTTCATTAGAAAAAAAAGAAAGAAAAAAAAATGAAAGAAAAAAGATAATTATCAAACTTATTCCCATTATTGAAATTCCTCCAGGAATTGTTTAAACATACAAAGACAGCATTTAATGGAATCAAGTGAATCATGTTACATATTGGCTCCAGGAAATCCTATTCTGATATATTAGAGATGGCAAAGAGCAAAAGCAAGGGTACCTTAGATTGCTTGGAGTATATACAGTTATGCCTATAGCTCAGCTTGGGTATTGTGGTTATAATGTTTAAAAGATGCTTACTGTGTTTTCTCCATATCAGCTTGAAATTTGCTGTAACCGGGGACAGAAATTTTACAATTTAAAGACCAACTTGGATACTATGTGTCAGGTAATCACTATGGCCTTCATTCTTCTCACCCTGGCAAGAGAGAATTTTGGCTGGTGCCTGAGATAAATAGCCAAGGAAGACTACAGTGTAATAAGCTTGTGTTGGATACAGGAATAGCTTCTTAATGTTTCTTCTTCTTTTTCTTTCTTTTCTTTTCTTCTTTTTTTTAACTCCTTCATGCTTCATATATTTATATAGTTCTTGAAAAACATGTCAGTCACAGAAGGACTCTGCATCTAGTACTTTACCAGATTTGAATTTGTTAAGATTTATTTTTATTTTTCTCTTGGTTTTCCCCTTTCTTCATAATTCTGTAGGAGTGGTATGAGCCAGATACTTAACTCTAAAGTGACATGTTGTGTTTGAGATTTGTTAAATAGCCACCCTGTTTTTTGTATGGATTTAATTCTTCTTTAGAATAATTAAATCCATATAGTAGAATTTAGTTGAGGGTTGATTTTCCCTTTCTTTTCCATGCATCACTGTGTTCCTCAAAGGTGTCAGTCTGCGGAGCAAGTGATGTGCGTTTATATGTGCTTTGGGCACAGAGTTCAGACAATAATCCTAAGTCAGCAGCTTGGTAATCATGTAAGTTTTTATCTTGACACTACTAGAAGAGTGTGGCTGTGATTGTCACCAGTGATGTGGGTGTGTGAAGTTCCTCATACAAACATATATGTTTTGGCTTATGATGACAGGCTTTACTAATTCAAGTGCAAATGGTAGTTTGTTCTCCTGTGATTGATTTTGGTTTTGTTTTGCTTTTTATTTTTTGTACTTTTTATCACTTTGTAAATCAGGATAACCAACAGTGTCTGCATCCATGATTTTCCATGATCCCTCTAGATGCTAATGTGGCTAGTGTTTGTCAAAAAAAAAAAAAGAAAAAAAAATGTATATATTCCTGCACATGTGTGTGTGATCATACAATTGATATATGCTAAATTTATCCATGAATTGTAACATTACATCAAGTTATGTCTTACTTGGGAAATAGTGATTAAAGGGATTTTAAAAATATAAATTTCTTATTTTTTATTTAGTTTTATTCTATTTGAAATTGACATTATTGTTATTATTATTATCATTTTTTTCCACTCATCCATTCTAACTTTTCCCTACCAGGTGCATCCACACTACAAGGCCAATGAAGGATGTTGCCGAGCATTCAGTCGGTAGCTAGCAGGCATGGTAGTCCTAATCGCCAACACAAGAGGTCGTCATCCAGTGGCGGCTTCTTTGAAGAACCAGTAGTGCCAATTCCCATGGCCAAGGAATGTACAGAAAGTACCGAATCTAGTCAAACACGCAATCATCTCAGTGGACAAAAGTCAAGATATGTTGCTGAGGGTATGAATGGATCTGCAACAAATGATGGAAGAAAGCCAACAAGAGTCAAACTAAAGAAGGCTCTGAGTCCCAACCACAAGCCGAGTCACTTCTTTGTGCGGACAGCTGGAGGCATGAGCGTGTCTGTTCCAGAGTTGTCACCTGAAGTCAACATGTCGGTCAAAGATCAAATTGATTTCATCCCAGTAGACCCAGTGCCGCAGCTTGATGGCAGTTCCTTAAGCCAAAATGAGAGTCCATTGGTGGAAGCAGCTTCAAGGAATCAGACTAATAGATCGCAGACTTACCTACCGCTCAGTGTTGAACTTGTGGCAGGCCGAGGGCAGACCAGTATGCCCAGTGATGGCAACAAGAACAGTGGAAGTGGTGCAAAGGTAAGGAGTCTGCCTCCATCCCATACCCTGGCCATGTCTGCCTCATTGATCAAGTCCTACTTCAGCTCAGGGCCAGAGAAGCAGCAGTCTAAGAGTGCAGGATCTACTCCTGATACTGAGACATCAGTCAAGACAAAGATGATTGGACTCTGGAATAATGTAAAATATGGTAAGTGTAGTGAACCTGTTTAGAATAAATTTGTGACTAATCAGTAACAAGACTATGTAGACAAGACAAGACTAACAAGACTATGTAGTAACATGGTTCTTCAAAGAGTAATGACTTGAGAGCTGAAATTACAAAAAAATCTCTCAACTTTTCACAAAAAATACACTAAATATATCATAATTACAGACATAAGCATTGAAACATGTGATGTTAATAGTGATATAGCCTAGTTAACCACTCATATGAAGGAGTGTGCAGGAAAAGTATGGTCACATTCAGCACTGTATCCTTATGGTTTTACAAGTGAAGAAGAATGTGAAGAAGAAGAAGAAGGGTGCTCAACAGTATAAACTAGAGAACTTGAATACTTATAACCCATTCCAGTGAGGCTGAGAGGGAAATGAAAGTAAGAGGTGGATATACCAAGGGGAAAATGAACTATCCTATAATAAGGGAATGGATATGTGTTGTTGAGATGAAATACTGTTTTGTGTATGTGTCTATGCTTGTATGCAAATGATTTTGAGAATTTGGCCTAAGAAGTTTTGTCCAAGCAGTATGCCAATCCTGGACTAGAAGAAGGAGAATAGTTTGATTTAGCCAAAATGATATTCAGCTCATAGATGATAAGGTATACTATTATGAAGTTAATTGTAGAAATCTCTGTAGGTGTTTATATGTATGGCCATATTTTTTGTTTCTCCAAACAGGATGGACAGTCAACCTCAAAACAAACTTTTCTCGAGATGCTCCAGTCTATCTCCTCGGACGTGTGTATCATAAAAGCTTTGGAGATATGGAGAGTTCTGAAGAAGGTGAGACATTCATTATTTTAAACCAAAGAATATAGGATGAAAAGCTCTTCATACATTGTATCAAAGTATGTAAAAAGGAAATGTGACAGAAAATACATCCAATTTTGGTTCCATGATTTTTCCACTTGCAGAGGTGGAACAGCA